CAAAGCCCCGTTCTAATTATTAAGGCATTCCTGAAAATAACAGTGACCTTCAGGGGTTCAGGCCAGGAAGCGAGCTTGAGATAACAGACCAGGGTTTAGCTTCGGGAGTAATATAGGGGCCTTAATAATTAGAATGGGGTTTTGGGGGGTATATTCTACTATAATTTCAATAAGGAGCCCCCAAATAAATAGTATTGGTATTTTTTTAGGCCCCTTTTTTAGAGTTCAGGACCCTAAACCCTAAAACCTAAACCCGGGTAATGCCTGAACTTGAATGCCTCGATTCACCGAACCAGCAACCGAAAATCCGACGAGGCCACGTTTGCAACACTGTCCCTGACATGTACTTGGAGGCCCAGGGACTTAGTAAGACCCTAAACCCTAAACCCTAAACCCTAAACCCTAAACCCTAAACCCTAAACCGTGGTTATAGGTAGAGTTACAGGTACCCTACATGGAGCTACGCTAATTATAACCCCACTTATAACCGACTTGCTAAGTCCCCTGGGCCTCCAAGTATCCCTTGCACCATATAGGGGCCCGGATACTTACCAATGCTATTTGGGGGGATCCTTATTGTGATTATAGTATAATATACCCCAAAACCCAATTCTAATGATTAAGTAGCCTCCCCATCAAAATTGAATGCTTCGGGCGCTTTCATTGCACGCCTCCGTCACTCCCGGCAGCCTGGACATTCGTGACTGTCGTGGTCGTCTGAGGCCTCTCTGCTTTTACGCGTGGTCGCCATGTCCAAGACTTGGGGCCACTTTGCGGTGAGAGTGGCGTATGTCGTCCACATTTGTTTTTAACTTATTGCCCTCGTACCTCTCCACAACATGCCAGCCACGGTCGGCCGGGCCTGCTGCAGGTTTACTGTCTGCACTGAGGGCACATCTCCAAGCAGAATCCTGACAGTCCGTAGGTCGATCTGCCAATTCTGATGCAGTTGTGGGAACCCTACACCCTAAACCCTAAACCGTGGCAACTGGCCCTGTCTCGAGGCAGGCATGGGGAAGGCCCATGTGCCAGCCAACCCCATCCACAACGAATGTGAGTGCCCATGTGCCTGCCTGCCTTGAGGATTTAAGGCTTTTTGGTTCAGGGTTTCGGGGGCCCAAATAAACCCTAAACCCTAAACCCTACGCCCGAAAACCCTAAGCCCGAAATGAGAAAGCCAAGAGTTTAGCTTTGGGCTTTCCGCTGGGCCCCGTGCACTCTGGGATCCGCTTTGTAAGTGATCATGACCTGCGCAGGTCAGCCCTCAGCCAGAAAAGCCCTCCGAATCTTTAGGGTTTAGGGTTTAGGGTCCTTAGAACCACATATGTAAGTGTATGTGTATATAAATATATATATATATATATATATGTGTATATATATATATATATGCGTGTGTGCATGTATATGCATACAGGAACATACACAGACATGCTTGTTACTATAGAATTGGAAGAAAATTTGTAACTTATTATAATATAGAACAAAGAGAACAAGGAACATAGTAGAATACAGCCGAATAGAACAGAATGGAACACAACATAGAATATAGAACTTGACTTGGAATGCAATAGAATAGAACCGAATGGAAAAAATATTGAATATCGATTATAGAACACAAACTTACAAGAACCAACATGGAACAGAGCATGTAAAAACTGAATACAAAATCTAGAGGTGATAACTAGCAATGTAAGTCCCTGATTCGGGATCATCTAGGTCATATTACATGTGTCTTCCTAAGCATGATGGCTTGCCGTGGAGCTGCATGATTCAGCACTCATGAACATCATCCGGTGCCCTAAACCCTTACTAAACCCTAAACCCTAACGATCATCCCATGCCCGCTCGCAAAGATCCATGTCGCGACATACGTACGTACTTCCGAACTCCTAACCCCTCGACGGCTGAGCTCACTGCTATAGAGCTTAACCCGTGTGGCGACGACTGCCTTAAACCCTTAACCTTAAACCGACACCCTAAACCATAAACCTAAAACCATAAGCCTTAAACCCTAGGCTCTAAACCTAACACACCTTAAAGCCACCCCTCAGCCTCAAACCCAGACGGTAAGACCCCTGAACCCTGCTCTCAATTCCGAAAAGGTCGGCAAGGACCCCGACACCCCAACGCCTGAAACCCTGAACCGCAAAACACCGCAAAGAAGCCCTATAAAACCATCCAGCAGCATGTGGAACCAGGTAACCTGGTAACCTGGTAAAAGCCTTGAAAAAAAAAACACAAACTCAGGAAAAAAAAAAAAACAAACTCCTGCCTAAACCCTAAACCCTAAAACACTGTAGATCCCTTTTAGACCCCTTAAGGGAACCCTGAAAGGAACCCTAAACCCTGCCAGCCAAAAGGGGAAGCGCTGGGCATTCAGATCTTGGGCCTGCAGCGCTTCCGAGCAGCCCCACCTGAAGGTGTGTTTCTCCCAATAGGGCTTCACATAAACCCTAGGGTTCAGGGCTTCGGGTTTAGGGGGTTTGGGGTTTAAGGGTTTAGGGGTTTTTGGGATTCGAGGTTTAGGAGTTTAGGGGTTTACGGGTTCAGGGGTTTAGGGGTTTAGGGGGCTTGGGGCCATAAGCCTAAACCCTAAACCCTAAACCCTAAACCCTAAACCCTAAACCCTAAACCCTAAACCCTAAACCCTAAACCCTGTAAACCCTACAGAGCTCCGAGGTTTGAGGGTCTCTCTCAAGAGGGCTTTCCCTAAGGTCGAGGGGTTTAGGGTAGGGTTTGGGGCTTAGGGTTTAGGGTTTAGGGCTTGGGGCTTAGGGCCTATAGGGCTTAGGGCTTAGGGGTTTAGGGGTTTAGGGGTTTAGGGCTTGGGGCTAAACCCTGAACTCTAGAGGGCTCTGAGGTTTGGACCGGGATATGGTTCCCAGATCTTCCGAGGTACCTTTTCAGTGTTTCGGCTTTAGGATTTAGGGCCTTTAGGGTTTAGGGCCTTTAGGGTTTAGGGTTTGGGGTTTGGGGTCTAGGTCCCTTGAAATCACATCGGGGTTCCTACCGTCGTTCTCGGTTTTTCGCGAACTGAAGGGTTGTGGCGGTTCTGGGCAGGGTTTAGCGTTTAGTGTTCTACAAGGGCAACCAGAAGGGTCTTACGGTTGATGATTTAAAAAACCTGCATTACCCATCGTAAGCAATAGCAGTAGGTGATTGTAGGGTAAGGCATCATGTAGGGTGTCGGGAACAGAGCTTAGGGCGCAATCTACAAATAAAACCCTACTGTGGCTGGTTTGGAGCGTCAGGGCTATGGGTTCCTTGTTTGGTCCTCGGGGTTCTGTGAGGATTTAGGGACCTCGGGTGCAGAGATGCAGCTTAGGGACGAGGGTTTAGGGTTTAGGGGATGCAGAAACCCTAAGCCCCAAAATTCTACTGCTGCTTCAAACCTGCAGATCTACAGGGCAACCCTTTCTGATGCCAAAGATCCTCTACTCGTTGGAGCTGTAGGGTCTTTCGTGTTTACATGCGCATGTGCAGGGATGTATTTATGTATATAATGATGGATATATGAATGATGTATGCATGTATGCATTCCTGCATATAGTACGTGGTTGCATAAGTGCATACACGCGTCTATGTAAATATACAGATATACACATATGTTCATATGTATATATATATATATACACATAAAAGTACATATATATATATATGCCCACACACCAGAGCATCACATACCCAAAACCCGAAACGATTGAACAACATGCCTCTCAGCTCCCGAGTTGGTTCAGAATCCTTTTCTCCCCTCCTTAAGCTCAAAACCCCAGGGCCCAAAAACCAAAATCCTAAAATCCTAAACCCTGAACCCCTAAACCCCTGAACCCCTAGACAGCTACACCCCAAACCCCTAAACCTTAACCCCCTAAACCCCAAAAACCCCTAACCCCTAACCCCTAAAACCCAAAATCTTCCCCGAGAAGCCCTGGGCGGCTCCACCTGGCGGCCTCTTGAATTGCATAGACACCCTTGGCATTCTTGGCGTTCAGGTCCACCCTGCTGCAAATGACTTCAAGGTGTGGCGGGTTTAGGGTTTTGAGTTCAAGGTTTAGGGTTTTTGGATCAGGGTTTGGGGCTCAAGGTTTTGAGGTTGAGGGTCTAGGGCTCAAGGTTTACAGTGAACACCAGAAAGTTGGACCATGGATTAAGGATGACTAGTACTAGGATTCCCCATAAAACAACCTTAAGGGCATGAGGATCATGATGTTCCAACTTGCTGGCAGGGTTTTGGGGTCAGGGTTTAGGGCTTAGGGCCAAGATGTAGGGTTCAGGGTTTGGGGCTAACCCTAAACCCTAAACCCTAAACCCTAAACCCTAAACCCTCAACCCTAAACCCTAAAGGTTTAGGGCCAAGGCCTTCTGGCTCACCGCTTGGGGTCCAGGAAACCACTTAGAGGCCCAAGGGCCTCTATAAGTCTTTTATTTGCAGGCCTTTAATGGGGTTTAGGGTTTAGGGNNAGGGTTTGTAACTCCATTTAGGGTACTTGTAACTCTGCTTAAAACCCTAAACCCTAAACCTCAAAACCCCAAACCCTAAACCCACTTACTAAGGCCCCCCGGGTCTCTAAGCAAGCGTCGGGATTACGGAGTTTTGGATGTAGGGCGTCTCAATGGCGTTGCAATAAGTCCCAAACATCCCCAGCCCACAGGTTTAGGGTTTAGGGCTTGCGGCTTAGGGTTTAGGGTTTAGGGCAAAGGGTTTAGGGCTACGGGTTTAGAGTTTAGGGTTTGGGGCTAAGAATTTAGGGTCTAGGGCTTAGGGTTTCGGGTTTAGGGCTGAGGGTGTAGGGAAAACCCTCAACAAAAAACCCCAAGGCCATGAATCGTTGCCAAGCTTCCAGAGTCTGACGCCAATCCCGACGCTTTAAGACAAGACCACCCAACCCGAAACAGCTAGTTGACACCTCGCGGTAAAGGAATTTGGGCGAGAGTTTTAGCATTTAGACCAAGGTAAAACCTTGCAAATCCATGGAACTTCATAAGATTTGGGAACCTGAAAACTGGGAATCAGGAGTTGGGTGCGCATCTGTATACTGTCAACTGTAAGTTCTATAAGGATATGAGAGTACCCCGAAAGCCTACAACCCTAAAACCTGCACCCGTAAACCTAAAACCCCAAACACCACACCCGAAACCCTAAACCCTGAAACCCTAAGCCCTACCTCGAAACGCTTAGCGCCTACACTTGGAAAGTTCGCACCTCGCTGCGTGGAGCAGCTGCACCTGAGTTTTGCTGCGATAATCGCCAGGGGTTTTATTTCCAAGCCTCAGGCTTCTAGTCGTTAGGGTTTAGGCATCCTCCGCCTTCCATGACCTTCATACGCTTCGTCATCGAGCTGTAGGCACAAACGACTTGGCCTTGCCCTCTAGCAAAGGCTTCAGTCTTTTCAACTTCGGGTTCAGGCATTTTGGGGTTTACAAGCAAACACCTAAGTCGCAATCGGAACTGCGGGCAAGCTTCCGCCCTTGTAACCGAGGCGTCGGCGGCTGTCCGGCCTGGCAGCAATGCAATAACTGCTTGTGATCTTGAAATCGGGTATCACCAATTTCCTGCTTGTGCTGGCCACATCTGAACCGTCTTCAAGGACCCTGACGAAGGGCGCAGTGTTGTCTTTGGCTCGGGCCCGGTTGAAGTACCCAGCCAAAGCTGTCCGCAGATCAGACACTTCACGTGTGCACGCCTCGTCCATCAGGAGCTGCTTGATCGCCGTGTTGGCCCAATCGAGAATGTTCGCATTCATGTTTGAGATGTCCCCACATTGAGAACTTCGGGATTTCTACTTGAAGCCATCGGGATTCAGATGCTCTTCTTGATGATCAGTAAACTTAGTGCAGGTAAGGTTTCCGGGACACGTGTTTAGGATTCGGAGGGAACGTTGAGGGCCTGTTGCCACACACCCGTAACCTTAAATCCGAAACCCTAAACCCTAAACCTTCAATCTGAAACCCTAAACCCTAAACCCTAAATCTGAAACCCTAAACTTTAACACTCTCTGGAAGCCCTTAGGCCCTTAGCCCTGCAGCCCAATGCTGTCAACGATTGTATCCATCGTAACCTCGTCGGTCTAGGGTTTACGGTTCAGGGTTGAGGGTTCAGGGTATAGGGTTTCGACACGAATCAAAACCCGGCCCTTGAACATTCAATCCTCGAACCTAACCCTAACCCTCCAAGTACCTACTATAGAGGGTACTAGAGCCCCTAGTGCCCTATAAAGTAGGTACCTGGAGGGTTAAGGTAAACCCCAAACCCTAAACCCTAAACTCCTTCGCCCAGAACCTCCTCGTAAATGTTCTATAGCATCTAGCACCACCTCGGGGTATCCGGAAAATGCGGACCCTACAACCTTCACTCACGTAAGGGCCCAACCGCATAAACTCTTTGCAACGCTCTATGAAGACATTTGTTTTAAAAGTCAAACCCATCAAATCCTTCAACAACCCTGTCAAAACCCTCTGAACTACGCACCACCTACGCAACCGTCAGTATGTGTGTGTGTGTATGTATATATATATATGTATATATATATATATATCCAACTGCGGCTCGGCTGCCATAGACCCAAGTCCAGAGCGTGCCTGGCTATGCACTTATAGGTTTTGCGCTTCAACAGGTTTACGGGTTTAGGGTTCGGGTTTAGGGTTGAAAACACAAGGTTGAGCGTTGCTTTACGGGTTCTGTAGGGGTTGAGGACTCCTGTGTGGGCTGAGTAAGGGCTTCAGGGTCGCTGCAAAACAAGAGGCTGAAGGTTCTGAAGGTTAAAGGCTGTAAGTTCTAAAAAAACATATAATATATAATAAATACTTTGTATGTGTATATATATATATACTAGCCCCCCCCGGAGAATGCGCACTTTGAGTGCTTACACGCAATTATGCACCAGTAGAGTGTTATTCCAACCGAAACCCCCAGCCCCAAAACCCACAAAACTGAGACTCCACGAGGCGTGGCACAACATCACCTGAGCTGGGCGGGAAGTGGTTACCACTGAGAACAAACACACCCTACACACACTTAAAAAAATCCAACTGTAGTTCCGATCCCATGGCCGTCTGTTTTTGTGCGAAGCATTGCTCCGTTAGTCTGCTCACTTAGTAAGCTCTTGTAGGAGCTGGGTGAGACATCTTTCCTAGTCATCGTCGTCGTATGTGTAGCAGTTGCCCTTGCAACGCCACACGATAGTTCCTTACACCTGACCTGGACTTTGAACCCAGTGCTGTTTCTTTTTGCATTACTACGATATACTAACCGCGACTGCCGCGACTGGGGTTCCGTTCGCAAGGCTTACGAAGCGGCGAGCCACTCCACTGCAGCTCTGGGTACGACCTTTGGGTCCGTCGGCACAACACCCAAGACTAACTTGAGGATGTCATCGGTGACACACACTGGGAGATGCTGCCATATCACCACATCAAAGGACCAAGTCTCCATGGCGTCTGCTTTGCAGAAAAGATCTCCGACTCGACCTGTTCCTACGATAGGATTCTCGAATTGCAGCAGCTTCGTGCCGACTGCTTGTCCGATTGCCTCTTTTAAAGTAGTCACTCCGTCTACGTTGGCGGGATCGACAGACCGGTCCAAGGAGACCGCATTACAAGGGGAGTACACTAGCCACGGGATCACATATTATGCTGCTACGAGGCTACGCGAAAGTTGTGGCACCCGCACAAGTTTGAGTAATTAGCAGAAGAGACGCTTGATCTGAAGACTCTATGAGGCAGCACCCCTGCCCTCCGTGAAGACCAGGTGCAAATGTTGCGGGCTCCTGAACTTGTGGCAGTGGCGGGAACTGCTCGATGCTCGTACAAGCCGGTGAGCCTCTCCACACAAAGATCAGACAAGATACCAACCTCTCAAAATCGAAACTGGTGCCCTATCCAATTCGGCAGGATCTTATCTGCCACAAGCATTCTTACCTGCTCTTTCATTAGCTCTTTCAATCAGAAAACAGAATCACTGGAAGAGGGAATTCTAAGGACCTCCACGAACTTCCTTTTCTTCATCCGTTGGTGTTTATGTGTGATCGAGTCCGTGGATGTTCTTTCCGTTTTGTTCTTCTTGAGCCGGTACTTGCAGATCTTCATTTGCTGATTATGCACGTAGGGTGCTCGCATGTGCTTTGCGGCTGATCCTGCTGTTTTTTCTACAGTGCACCTCAGTTCGTGAACTCGTTTTGATGCGGTTGTTTTGCAACTGCTGGTCGTCTGAGGGAGTTTGTCACTCGAAGCTACCTCACGCGAGCGAAGATCTGAGTCATCGTAGACAGGCTTGCTTCAAAAACTTGCGCATGTTCTCAGCGCGCAATTCGCCAAGCTTAAGCCACAGGTCCCCATTACGGTACCAATACTCGTATTGAGCAGACCTCACTTTGGCGCATAGCCGTCTACTGCCAGCCTTGGTGCGCTGGTTGACTCTGACCCGGTCCTTCAAAATAACCTCCAACAGCGATCGATAATCTGTGTTCCAGACTTCACAACGATCTTCTTGTTGGACTTAGGGATCTTGTGGGTCACGACCTTAACATACTTGGGATGCGGCCAGATGAACTTGCCATTTCGCTTCACACGCTTTTTGGCATGAACCACCTTGTCGTGAATGACACTCGCAATTTTGGCCTTGCAGGACCCGGGCCGCATCCGTATGGAGAACAACCTTCCGGTCCTTGAGAAGTTTGGTCCCAAGGGTCTTCCACTCGGTGTGCCTGATTGCTCCGGGCCCTGGGGCTCGCTTCACAGTGAGTTTCGGCTTTAACCTGGAGAGTACTAGCGTTTCAGGGCAGCCTCGTTGGATTTCTCCCGTCCACTGTTCCCACGTGGTAGTGGTTTTGCTGTTCTTCACGAAGTGCTTGAAGTCCACATCCTGGGAAATGGCTTCGTCCTTGCATGTGTGTTTGTTGAGCGTCTGGAAACATTGCTACGAAAAGATATCGCCTGATACAGCCTGATCTGACAGGAGCTGTGAATGGGCACACAATGCTTGCAGACCAAAATACCAAAACTCATAGGCAATGAAATGAGCATATTTCTTGAGACAGTCCCAAAAATTCCAAAGCCCATTTGCCAGAAATGAGCATATTTTTCGAGACAGTCCCAAAAAAGCACAAATACCAAAACTCATAGGTCATGAGATGAGCATATTCTTCGAGACCGTCCCAAAAAACTAAAAGAAACGAAGATTCAAAGCTATTCCAAATGCCAGTTCTCGAGACAGCTCCAATGGCTTGGAAACTTTGGTTTGATATTTCGTTGCCTATGAGTTTTGGTATTTTTTCTTTTTTGGGACTGTCTCGAGAAATATGCCCAGTTCCGATTTCAGGGAGGCTCCGGAATCTTTGTTTTTGTTGGGACTGTCTCGAGAAATATGCTCATTTCGTGGCCTATGAGTTTTGGCATTTTTGTTTTTTTGGGACTGTCTCGGGAAATATGCTCATTTCCGATTTCGGAGAAATTCTGGAATCTTTGTTCGAGAGATATGCTCATTTCGTGGGTTTTGGTCTGTCGCGAAGAATATGCTCATCTCGTGGCCTATGGGCTCTGTGTTTTGGCTTTTTGAGACTGTCTCGAAGAATGTGATCCTGTGATGGCCTTTGGCAGATGCATGTACATGCACACATGCACGACGAGACGAACATTACCATACTAACTCACTGGACATAAGTACTAAACAAAAGGACACGAACAAAAGCAAGCAAAGGAAGCATGAAAGAGCTTCACGCGCTCGGCAGTGGAGGAGCGTACCTGCAGCAAGGGTTGAGGGCGTG